ATTCGGCAACGCAACAAAGGCCAATTTTTTCGAGGATGAAAGCGAACGATGGTCAGACACAGAATTTTTACAGTCGTAATATATTATACAGCCGTGTGATGCGGTAAAAAGAAAGAAAGAAAGCCCTCGACGAAACTGCCATCGATCGACCGATGGTTCCATTTGTTAGAGAAAAATCTCTACGAAACAGAAATTCCGTGATCGTACACGTATGTGTCGCGAAGAAAATCCAAATCAGCATGTCCAGTAATATTACTATCATAAGTACAATATATTAAGTGTTTTCAGAAAATATATGATCTATATATGATAATAAAAGCTGGGAAACGTTTCACAGCGAATTTGTCATTTTCTCATCTACAGTCATCGATCCTCGTTCACCTTCGCCTCTCGTTCCAAATAAAATTCGTGTTTGGACCCTCGACTGTTCAATTTTAAATTTGCCTCTTCATTCGAGCGAGTATACAGAGCACAAGAAGGAAACCCACTAACTGAAATAATAGAAAGAAATAGTTCGAGTACAGATTTGAAAATATGTACGCAGACGATATATTTCTCATAATTCGCTTCGAATATGTTTCGATAAGTCCTGTGTGTGATTCGCACAAGAAAGCGTTCTCAACTCACTATGATTAGGAAAATCAACAGCACGGACATGCTAATGGCGTGTATATGAGACTTCAGCAATAGTACGGCGTTTCTCAGACATCCGGATTTATATGCCACTGCCTCCGTCATTCGTAAACACTGTGGAAAAATTCTACTTGAATGGGAGAATTGAAGAAGCTAATGATATCATCATAATGATTGCTGCAAATACGCTAAATTTTGTCAATGGAATATGCATCTGCATATTGCTAAAGTGGTCGTACCCATTTTATCGGTATTGATGTAGTAAGTTTCTCAAAAAGCTAATTATTGAGTAAGAAAATTTACTTCTTGGATAGATCTGGAGCAACAGCTTGTTGGAATTTCAACGCGATACTTGAGCCAGTCTTTCGCAGACTTTATTCCACAACATTTCAGCTGAAACATAGCTTTTGGTATAATTAACAGGCCATTTGATATTTTGACTAAAAGTTGATATATTATCACACAATCTTTC